GATGAGCTGCGTCTGGAAGCGGGAGAGTTCTTAGTGCCCGTCGCCCACTTCCATAAGGAGGCCTACCAGACGTTCGGCGTTCCCTTTTTGCTCAAACTAAAGCACGTGAGTTGTCGGGGCTCGAGATGCCAGTCCCTCCCATTCCTCTGTCCCACTCCTTCGTGTGATTGTCACGCGTTTTGATTTGTTGTTCCCCAACAGAAAGAAATGTTTACTTCAGTCAAGGATAGGATTCAGAAGAAGTTGGATATTCCCGACAAAGAGTTTGAAAAAGTGAGTATTTTTTGTGTGTGGTATTCCCGATGGGACAGGTAGTCTGTAATGTATTGTGTTGTGTTTGCAATTGCAGTATAAGTTCGCGTTAGTGACGACCGGAAGGATTCAATTCATTAACGAAGAGAACGAATACGTTATAAACAAAGAGGACTTTCACGCCCATACCATCAATAGTGAGTGCCATTGAAGTGATGTCGTCGCATTTCGCGTCACTCACGGCTCTATTGTCTCGTATTTCAGGTCCACTCCAATCGAGTTCACCGTCGAAGCCGTGGTTAGGTTTGGAGCACATAAATAAGGCGCCGAAGCGCTCGCGTTATAATTATTTAGAGAAAGCTATAAAGATTCACAATTAATGACTAATTTTTTTTGTAAATTTCTTTGGCATTTAAGCCGACATACAAAACAATTTATATAATATTGAGATAACAGTTGGTTAGATGAGACGATACGACAAAAAACACAAAACAGATCTAATTATTTGGATATAAATAGAGCTTTCGATTGATTTATTTGTGTCGACAATAATTCACACACTTTTTTGATCCTTACTAGAGATTATAACTTATTATATACGGTAACTATAATTTGTTTCTAAACGTCGATCCCCTAACGCGAGACAGTATTTGATAAGTGAAATACGAGAACAACTAAAACCTACCCTTTGCTGTAAATAATATGATTATAAACTTAAGACCTGGTGTTCGGACTCTCAATACTTGTGTTCCGTTCGTTATGTCGTCAACACATGAACTCTCTCTCTCTTTCTCTCTCTCTCTCTCTCTCCTCTTTTCTCTGCTTTTAATTTAAATGAAATATATTTAAAAAACGAGTTTTTAATTATACATAAAATTATCGGGATATTAACGATTAGTTATACCGTAAAAAGCGACTGATTTTTAAAGCAAAATATTTCTTTTGTAATTTCAATTAAAAACTTTATTAATATTTTGAAGCAATTATTTAAAACGAGTATAAAAAGCAAATCAATTATAATTTGTAAATAAATGGCTATTATTTTTGAATGTAATTTAATTGCTATTAAAAAACACGTCAAATCTTTTGAAACAAAATTTATATACAAAACTGCTTTCATTGGAGCACTTCGTGGCATCACTTATCACTTCCCGACTCTTTGCGACCAAATTTGTTGAGCACTTGTTTGCAGTCGTAAACGAAGACATCGTTTGTGGCCAACGATTGCAGGTTTTTGTTGTGAAGATTGCGCACAACTTTGGCCAACGACTGGACGCCGGACTTGACGTCGAAGCGATTGTCACCGAACGGGTCGCTCGCGTCCAGAGTGGCCATCGTCTGCAGCAGTTGAGTGACGGCTCGTCTGGCGGTCGAGTTTGAGCGCCAGAAGCAGGCGTTCGGCTGATCCGAGCTCTTCGTGGCGTCCGACACCACGAAGCGATAGAAATAGAGTTTAATTAACTCTTCGTTTTGGATGATCCGCTCCGTCTTCGCCTCATATGATGGCACGTCTGCCGCCAACTCAGTCCACAGCGGATCACTCGTCAGCGCATTCCTCTGGAGCGCCAGTCTGTGTCCACACGACTCCAACTCCAAGTCATCCAACCGTTGCCGCCGAGCGTCCGACTCCTTCATCAGTTCAATGAGTTTGTGGTAATTATCACTCATTTTGTGGTCGACTGCCTCTTGTGGTGATGTGATTGTCACTCAACTCACAGACAATGCAAACAAACAAATGATTAGATTTTGTGCCAAAACTTCATTTCAAAAATATTCAACTCTTTGAGTGTTTTTCACATAAATATCGTTCACATTATCGTGTTTTGTGTGAATATTCTGCCGTAGAGTTGGAATATTCTGTTAAAAACATTAAACTAAACAATTCAAATCAATTCATGAGATAATGAGCTTTACTTTAAACTTTTTATTTATTTATAATTTATAAAAACCAATTGAATATAACTGTAAAAACCTTTTAGTATTGAATAAAAAGGCATTAAATGAGAGGAATTTCGAGATAAAAATGAATGACTGAATCAGAATTTCAAGTTTTTGAAAGAAGTGATGGTTAGGACACCAGTCATCCCCTCTTTAGGTTTGTCGACGCGACTGATGAGCACCGGTTTGAGGCCAGCCTTCAGCGCGCACTTGGCCTCCGAAGTGCTGTCTGTGATATACATAG